TGGTGTGGGGGGCCAAGTGACCTTAATTATAATGCTTCTAGATGCGAGTTGGTAAGACAGGTTTGAGAGGAGTGGTTGGTGGCCATTCTTTCTTCTTTTTTTTTTTTTTAATATATCGATTTAAAATATATATATACATTAATAATTTAAAAAAGTGATTGGTGTATTTTATTTGTTGTAATTGATGTTTGCTATAGATCGATGTTGCATGTTATTGATTATTAAATACCTTACTATATTATGCAGTCTATAGAAATTTCAAAGTTTTGTATATGTACGAATTTAACTTTTATGAACTAACTAGTACAAAAAAGATTACACTATAAAATTATCTAAAAGATATATATACATGACTGTGTATAAAAGTGAAATATGCAATCTGAAAAAAGAATATAATCTACTACTAACATATTAAAATACATTAATAATATAAATATTATTTGTATTATCAGCAGGGCGAAGGTACATAGAACTGACCATCATTCGTCGAAAAATTACACCGTATATATAAGTAAAATATTAGATTTTAATGGTATATAACATATATTGAACACCTTTTATTGGGAATTTTTTTTACTTATTTCAAGTTTGAACACCCTAAATAAAATTACTGGCTTCGCGACTGATTATCAATATATATAAGATAAATCATAACTGGTATACTATTGCTAAAGGATATCCAACAAAAGAAAATGGAAAAAAAAATGGACTAAAAAGTGGAGTTGATTAACAAAAGGTAAACTTTAGGTAGGTGCAAAGTGAGGTATTAAGGATCCAGTAAATTTGTGACAAAGGAGAATCTTGTGATCTAATCTCACTTCTTATTTTTTTGAATTTTTTTTTTTGGGTTTGTCACTAAAACTCTGAACCACATCTTAAAATAATTTAGCTAACTACTATTCAAAATCTTCCCAACCAAATGGACGACATGTACCCTACACTTTTCATACAGACTACTAATTATGAAAATAATAATAGTATCATTAGTGCTCTTGTTTGAAATAGCAACCTTAATTAGATTTGCGGTGTTCTACAGAAAATTTGTCTTAACAACTGGTCAAAGTTAAACCAATTTTGTAAATATATATATACATGATTATGTTGATTTAACTATTTAAGTTAGGCAAAATACATAAGTTACCTCCCGAACTATGACCAAAATCCCTGTTACGTCCAAAGAATTGAGTCGCGTGAACAGAAGAATTTTGTATCAGATGTCAAGTTTTTTTAGTTTTTTAAAATTTTAAATTGAGCCATCTTCATCTTTTTTAAAATTTTGCCATAGCTAGTCCTTGAACTCCACCACCCAATCTCCTTCTTCTCAAATAGTCATACCACGATTTCTCATATCTTTTCTCGTTGTAGAGAAGCTTAACTTGAGCTTTACCCATGGCGAAGTCGAATTTTCAGGAAGCGAGAATTTTCCGAAATTTTTTCCAACCATTAAAGCTTAGCTCAAGCTTGTGCACATTCTTTAATTTTATAATGGATGATTTTTTAAATAGCTGACTTGTGGCGATGGCAGTTATTGGCGGTTGAACCTTTACAGAAGTGATATGAAAAATGAGTTGGATCCGGGCTCAAAAATTTCAATTTCAGCAGAAAAGATGGAGTTTTGGGTGTTTTTTCTGTGATTTTGTTAGTTAATTGTGGCTTTATTATTAAGTAAAAGGTGGAGGAAGAGACTATGGTGTTTGATGGTGAAAGAGGAGGAAACGGTTGTTTAGATGAGGAAGATGAGGGGTACAATTGTAATTCTAATTATTTTATTTTTTAAATGACACGTGTCACTGTTTGATTGGTGCGTGATATTACACATATTCTGAAAAACTGGTTAAGAAAAAAGTGGTGTGTCTTGGATACACTTTGGAAAGGTTGGGTGTGTAAAGTAATATTCGTTGCCAGAAAGTGTGTAACAGGGATTTGGGTCACTGTTCAGGTGGCAACTTATGTATTTTGCCTTTAAGTTATATACACAGACAATATAAAGATTTTAAATAGTATTATTGACTTTTATTAGGTTAATTACCTTATAATTAAGTAAGCTTATTGTGTAAATATTTTTGACACCATCATTATATAGAACTTATAAAACATATTTCCTTTTTTTGATTTTAGTAATACAGCGAGACCTCTCTATAACAGTATCTCTATATAACAACCATTCACTATAGAAGCCAAGCTTTTTTTTTCGGAATCGATTTTTATGTTATGTTATAATGTATGTCCTATATAACAACACTTCACTATAGCAGCCAAAAAATATCAGAACGAACAAACGAGGATGTTATAGAGATATTTGACAGTAGTTTATAAGATGCAAAAAAAGAGTGGCAGTGAAAACTGACAGTGTAGTTTTCTTGGTTTCTTTTAAATATTTTAGCTAGGTTTCTGGTTATAATTAGTTGTAGTGGGCATTAGGTGAAGTATTGTTCACAGTCCTTTAGGCTTACATATTTTTGCTAGTACAAGTAAGATGGTGGGAAGGAGTTTTTTGTGTATTGGTTCTCCAGTATACAAGAAAGTAGAATGGGTGTATATTGTTAGAGTTTCTAGAAGAGATGGAGGTTGGAGAATAATGGAAGTAAAAAAAAAGAGACAAACATTAGGAAATTAGTAATAAAAAAAAATAGATGTAGGGTGTGATTGTAGTTTTATATGGGGTTTGGTTCACCTTCCACTTCTCTATCTTTTTGTTTGTTCCATTATTAAAGAAAGAGAGAGAGAGATCCCCTATTCTACAAGCCTTGTGGTTCAAGTTAATTTAGGCAACAAAGTAGGGTTTGCATATGGTAAGGTTGATTCACCTTTTTGTTTGTTAAGGAAAGTTAAGTTGGAAAGATTGGGAAAAAAAATAATCTTAGCATTAGATAATACTCCATTATATTTTGTAAAGGATGTATTGCTCATATAAAAAAAAAAAAAAAAAGAGTTCACATTTTATGCATTGATTGTGTACAATTTTGTACACCATCATGTTAAATTGACTTATAATATCAAGTCTGATATAGTAAGTTGAAAAATAGAATATATATGATCGATCAAACTAAGTTGATGGGATAAAAGTTCTTCATACTGTCATTACATATAACTTATATTCATTAAAAAAAAAGTCATGCATGGTTATATAGAGTGTTTGAATGACAATATTAAATATTACTTACATTAAGTTATATGAGAATTTATATATTATTTTACACGGGATAAAATGCGAAAAAAGCATATGAGTATTAGCAATACAAAGATTCAAATGTTTAAAGAGAAAATATGCTTAACATAACTAATTCATGCATAAAAATTTCTTACAACAGCATAATAATAATTCCTTCATTAAGATTTATTACGTAACTAATTCCTACGTAACTAACATGAATCAAACGACTAGTTATGATTATGTACCTCCAATTTGCAGAGCAATTTTTCTATTTTTTACCCACCACCAAAAAACCTTATCTCATTTTCCTCTTTTCCTCCCTGAAAACAACTGTGATAACAACTTGTGCCTATGGTTCACGATATACTGAAATCTATCAACTTGGCTTTGATGACTCGAACGAGAATTGTCCACTTGTATAATTTCATGTGTGTGTTTTACCTACCTTTTGTCAACTTTTTGCATTCTCTTGTGTCACGTCCAAAAAAATAGCTCCCCACCCTCTAAAATTTTGATGTTGAACTACGGCACGGTTTTGGATTTTATTGCCACACGTAATTCTTCGTTTTATCACATCCTAAAAACCAACCTTATGAGCTTATCCATTACCTTCTCCAACATGTTTGGCCTCCCTCTTAATATTACTATCACTAAGTTGTATATGGACCGGGTTTGTTTGGTTTTTAAACTAAAACAAATCAACTATATCTGTTTGGATTGGTTCGGTTTTGTCGGATTTTTCGAGTTTTTTGTTACTTAAATATTATTTCAACTTTATTTTGTTAAATTTTTTATAAGTAAATATATATTTAGTAAGAATATAAAAAGTTGACAAATATATTATCTATGAAAATATTCTTACGAGAGAATTTCTTAGTATCACATAATAGTTATTTTTTTAGTCGTCTGACAATAATGTTTCGTTGATGCACACTTTTAAGGTTAACCGAATTTAGTAATTAAAGATAAAAATCAATATGATACCTAAATAATAATAATAATCACTTCAATTTGAAAAAGATATAACAATTTAATATATCTTAACATATGATATGAATATGGAAGAACAAAGAGATTGACAACCCATTATTTCAGTAACACTTGATGAGAAAGTGAACATACAACCCATTATTTAAGGTTAATAAATATGGAGCACTTCATATACAATTAAATATTATATCCCGCAAGAGAATCCCAAATATTTCTAGACATTTTTAAAGAAAACTTTATATAAAATCTTATAAGTATATATAAAAATTATATATTTATAGGACGGTTTGGTTCGGGTTTTTTTACTCAATACCAAATCAAACCAAACCTAGTCGGATTTTTTAATCGGTTTGGTTTGACTTTTCGGTTTGGTGCGTGTTCCGGTTCGGTTTGTACACCCCTAACTACCACCACGAAAGTGTTTAAATATCACACTCCATCCTTATCTTTTAGTCCGACTCAATGGTTGAGCTAATTGTTTCATAAAAGCGAATGATTCCGTCAGTTAGTAGCCGTTGATAGTATATTATGAAAAAATTTGTATTGTCGGCATATATAAGCAGGGGCGAAGGTAGAGTATTACATATTAGACGGACTTATTAACTCTTGCTAGACCGTGTTTTGTATTGAGAAATCCATTAAATATATATAAATATTTATTTGTAAAAATCTAATAATTAAGACGAACTATGAATTTGCAAGTAACAAATTTTGTAACCCATAAACTTCAGATCCTGATCAATGTGGCTATGTTGTCCTTGTATAAGTTAAATCCATAACGAAAGGGAGATGGTTGGTAATGGGTAGGCGATATTATGGGAAGAATAAGGTGAGAACCCAACTCAGGGGCTCGTGGAGATCATGTGCTTAGGTATAATGAAGAAGACTTGTGGGACTGTCCTAAAACACCATTGTTTACCTACCTCTTTAGTCTCTATTTCTCTTCCCATGTGACATCCCCTGCCTTCGCGATTCTTGGGTCTCTATCCACTGTCCCATGTTTGCCGTTTGGTGGATAAAGCTTCAATTGTTTCCCCTTCGTTCAAATTATTGATAGAAACACTTCCCTATGGGCTATGTGGGATATAATACTATATACATTCGGAGCTTTCCTCAGTAATATTAAATGGGTTTGAAAAGGGTTAAAATCATAGTGAGAATTTATATAACGGACTACAAATTATTTGAGCTTCAAACATAGTTAATTTAGTGATAGATATTTTATGGAATCGTACCAAGGGTGGATGTAGCCTACCGGTTACGGGTTCATATGAAGCCATAACTTTGACACGGAGTATAGAATATATGTAAAAATCTATTGAAATCTTAACAAATATTAAATCTGAACTCATAATTTTAATGAGTCTAATACTGAAAATCTTAAAAGTTGAATTCATACATTTAAATCTTGGAACCGCCTCTAATCATACCCAAAAAGAGATCCAGCCGAGGGCTGTCCCTTCATACTCTCTTTTCCCAGATATGAAACTTGAGTCACGGAAGCTTTTTCGGCTCTGCCTGATCCACTTATCTTAAGCATCTGAGCTTCAAAAGGAAAACTCTCAATGGTAGTTAGGTCAATGGTAGTTTGGTGACCTATTTTCAGTAGGGGCCTTAAGTCTAGAGATTTAAGTAAGAGTTGCGAGAGAGTGAAACATACCGTCCCACCATACTTTTGGGATTAGTGTGATAGTCAATAAAGTTGAAACAAAATACAGTACCGCACACCCAAAGTTCGAACCCTTCTCATAAGCGTTTAGAAAATGAAACATAAACCAGATTGAGCCACTCAACATGAAAAGCAAAATGTTTGTGCTTTTTCTGCTTCTGTACACTGAAACACACAGTAGCAAGGCGCCTCTTTCTTGGCATATGCTTGGGGTAGGTGTAGGTGTGACAAGGGCCAGATTCAAACATGAGCCAAAAAATTGGGGCAAGAAAACTTTAAAAACTGGGAAAATCCCATAATTATCTGCTTATTTTGGCGACAACAATCACTGACGACGTTAGGCAAGACAAGCAGGTATGCCACTCAATACTTCGCACATGGAACGTGCAAATAAATGAATGGTATATAAATCTCTGGTAGTAGTCTATTATGCTCTCTGTCTGACCTACCTTTTCCTTGTCAAACTCCTAACAGGATAAACTCAACAAGCATCGACAAAGCCAACTCAGGTTGAAATCAGAAACCTTCCAGAAGTGCGGGAATCAAATATAAACATTAATTCCATGATACAACCGGTTTACTATATTTTTGTATTAATCCATTTAGTCGACACTACAGGGTATTATTTGAAGAAAATGTGTAAGACCATAAAAATAAGGTACAGTTCATCATTAATGTTGAAATTATGGCAGTAAGAATGCAATCTGTAGTTGTGCAATTCACTTCATCCTTTTCCGCACTTCATACCAGTAACTCAGTGCCACCACTGCAGCAGCCACAACAACTCCTACAGCACTTTGTGCTAATATAGTGCCATCCCTCACTGTAGCCTTGGAACCAGAACTTGGGGTAAACCCTAGCTCAGATAGTTTCTTGTGTGATATGGCGTAATCCCTAAAGAAGGCATCTTCATCCTGCAATATTCAATAAATACAACATGAATCACTGAAGTTTTCCTACCAGTAAGCAAATAAATGGCTCATTGTAATGGAAAGAATAGCATGTGCGCAACTTTCCTTCAAAGCAAGAACTAAGCATCGGTAATCATGCGCAGAAAGGCTTTCCGGGAAATGTATGTATGACCAATAATATGAACAACTGAAAAGTATAGAGATCTAAACAGTAAGGATCGCATTCATTACTTCACACTTTGCAGAGACTTGCAGGACAAATACGAATGGCCCAGTTGGCCAGTACACATTATAGTCGTAGAATGTCCAACCAATATTTCTGATTTTTGGATCTCCAATGGCAACAGCTCCAGATTTTCCCAGCACTGCTGCAATCTTTATACAAAATATCTTTTACATTTCATCCAGACCATCCAAAACCTGAACTCAGATTTATTTATTTTTTGGATTGCTTTCTTGTCTTCAAATCTCTTCATGTCAACAATACACAACCTCTATTTCACCTCAACCTCTCCATCTCCAAAAGTTCTCTCATCTCTCAGCTCCAGCAGAAGCTCACTAGACCAGTAGATTCCTCTTTATTTGCAGACAGATCCATCACCTTGTCTAGACCTCTCTTCTCAAGAGTATGAAACCCATATTTTCAAAGAAACCAACCTTTTGGACCTTAAAGTTCTAAGACGCTACTTAAAATAAGATCTACTGACTACTGCTGTGGTAAAGTCCTAATTATCCTCGTATAAAGACATAAGAGCAGTCATCATTATTAGGACAACACGTGAAGTAAGAAAGCAGGAAATTAAAATTCAAAACATGAGTTTTAAACAAACACTTAGAGGTTATTATTGTGGAGCAAAGACTATCGACTCATATATGTCAAAAAGACAGTTGATCTCAAGAACTCCCTTCTACAAGTTACAACTACATTAATAAGATTAAAATATAGAGAAGTGTCCTGTTCATCTTGCATTAATATGATTATAATGTTTTAGTAAACTCAAAATTGGCCTAACTTAGCAAACTTGAAACACTTGGACCAGCAAAAACTTTGGTCATCCAGTGAATTAACTTCTCACCTTAGCATACAGCTCAACATATTGTCTGAACTCAGGATCATCCAATAAAGCTATGTCTGTGGGAAGTTTCAGCAGGCCCTCAGTTTCCCCCTTAAGCAGCTCCCTGGATTCAAAAGAACGATAATACTTAATCAGCAACTGAAAAGATATTAACATTGGCGTTCCCCAACAAAAAAGCTTTTGGATTTCCTTTTATAGGAAAAGGTCATAAGATCAAACAGCTAGCTTATACGCCCATATTTCTTACACAAAATATGAATTGTCAAATTTCAGTGGCTCCTTTGTCCATGGACCATCAAAGCCTGATCTCTCTGGATGTGCCCTTCCCTGCAGACAATATCAAATGAACCAATTGGTACGTGCTCTGTGGATTTCATCACTACAACATGTCACTTGTGATTCTTAGTGCAACAGTAGGACAAATAAAAATTGAGAACAGAATCAACAACTAGGGGAAGAGAAGTTTACTTACCAGTGTATGACCACCAGATAACGCCACTATATCTTTGTCTGACAAACCCATCCTATAAAATACATCTTTCAGATGCGGCACACCTACCATTAATCGCAAAAGACTCAGCGAAGCTCAAACTTCTACAAGTTCATTTTAACAAACAATTGACAGATCTAAGAGCCTGAATCTTGTTGAGAAAACACTGCAAATAGAAGGATGACTTCCTAGAAAACACTAGCGCTTTTATCCACGCTAATTAGTAGGAACGCCATAGTCCCACTGGGAAAAAATTTTTGCAGGTCACCGATGAAATTCCTTCACGACAGCATATTAATAAAAGAAAAACAGTTCATGAAACCTTGTTTAGCATCTGGTAACCGTCCTTCCTTTGGAGAAACACTGGAATCCTATGGAAAATAGATAAGTATAAAAACATTAGCATTTCATGAATATCATTATTAAGTGATTATCAATCAAAAAAGGATTAAAAAGTAGTTACCTTCCTACCAGGCACAAAATCAATGGTCGGACCACCAGTGACCTCAACTGCAACAACTCCTGCAAGCTAAACATGAAATGGATTTTGATAACCGTTCAGCTCCCCTCAACTAATGTGTGTATTAACAGATTTAATCAAAAACATAATTACCAACAGCTGAAGTGCAACATAATATGAGAAATCTCAGTTATTCAGGAAAAGATCTAGGATCCCCTTTCTGTATCGTAGCTACAACATGTCTAACCAAAAAAAAAAAGCACCCAGCATGTACAAATGTTAGGTGCATTTTCATCATCCCATATAAATTTGACTTTCATGTGCCTTGTCAGCAAGACATCACCATTTGTTTCAGTTACAAGTTATAACTTATAACCACTCAGTAAATTGTCATGCCAGCAGCATGGGAAGTAACACAGTTAAACAGACTGTTTCGCATTTACTTTATTCACTCTTTCTCCACATATTGGCAGGTCGAAGGGTAGGTGAGATCTGTATCTCTTATAGCGTGGAGGGATTACGTCCTAACTAAGCGAGGATTTCCTTTAATCTAAAAAGTAACTTCTTTAAAACGAAGAGATCTATCAAGAAACAAACCTTTCCAGAAAATCTCATTTGAAATCTAAATCTTACAAGGAAGAAATACATTTTCCTCCCTATAATACTGATCTACAATATAAACTATTGGATAATCGCCTCATTCTTCATTAGCCACTCATTCACGTAAAGAGATGATGAAGTTGATGATCATCCTTTTTAAACCATATGAATACCCCGAAAAGCATTTCTAGAAATAGAATAACGGAGTCACCTGGTACAGATCTGCATACGTTATCTTTTGATGTTTAGACTTCACTGCTTCTGTAACGAGAAATACAACATGTTAAAAAAGGAAACAATAATGTCATTCACAATTTTAAGCGAAGCCTATATCAAATAGTGCTTTCTGGTGGACACTCACACAATTTTACATTCAAGCTTGCAACATCAAACACTCCGTTTAAGGAAGGGAAGGGGATCATTTTTCATCTTTCAGAGTCAAATTCATAGAATTGACTGCTTTTCACTGGGGTCATTACAAGCTCATCAGTGCTTGTAGTGCTGGTGCGACCCTCCAACTCTCGTCCCTTTCATCATGTAAATTCTAGCTAATTGAATAAAATAAGTATACCTATTCAATGTCACTTCCCTTGTTGCTTTTCCACCTAATTACATAGTCTAATAATTTCAATTTTATAGGCATAATCGAAAGTAACATCCGTTGTTTTATTTGTAGCACTCATTTCTGAATTCAAATGGCAACTACTCTCCACACTAAACTTTTTCGAATTTAGCTATCTAAAAATAAGCTACTCTAAGAGTAAAATTCCAGAAATCAATAAGTAACTACTAGTACAAGCTATTCGCAAACGATTTCAAAACGCCAGATAGATGAAATTACAAAAATATACTATTAATATATTAGATAAGCTTAATTTAACAACACATGAGTTATGAGACTGCAAAAACACAACGAATGAAGCTGAACAATCAAAAAGTTAGAAGAAACAAATTTGTACCGCAAAAGTCAAGAGCGATTTTTAATCCATTATTAGCACCGTGACTGAACTCTTCCTCATTTCTGATGGAACCATTGGGTCCACCGGTCTTCGACTTAGCATCGTACGTTCCTGCATCGTGCCATCTGCGCAGAAACATAATTGAATAAACCTAAATATAATAGTATATACAAATAGTATATGTGTAGAGAGAGAAAGAGAAATTACGCTAAGCGAAGCATGATAGGAGCACAGTTTTTGCTGGAGATAAGAGCGCGGAGGTCGCGACGAGCTTTCTCAATTTCTTTGAGGTACTCCGTGTCGACGATTGGCTTCGCCATTGATGGAGGAAAGGTGAATGAGGATAAGATATTTAGCAAAACAAGAAATGGAGGCACAGACTTTGCTGTTAGTATTTGAGGCTTCAATTGGTTGTTGGAACTTGGAGCTAAAAGAGGCGGGTCAAACAAGTTTAGCCCATTTGGCATTTGGAAAATTATCCTTTTTTCTTTTTTTTTTTTAATATGGACAACTATAGCCTATAGGCATAAGGAAAGAGACCTTAAAAATTAGTCTTGGTTAAATTTAGTATTCAATTCTTTTCAATATTTCTATATTTCTGACGAGACTAGTATAATTTGGTGGAATAATACTCGTTAGTAATATCAGTCATGTGGGATATCTTTTACTTAATAAATTTATTTATTTCTCTTACTCAAAAAGTCTTTTGAGAAACTATTACATTCATATTTCGTTTGAGACGTATGATGTAGCACCTTCTTTCAATCGATTAGATAAAAGCCCATTAAGTTAATAGTACTCCATTACCTTTTATTTCAATTTTTAAATTAAAAAAAAAAAGGTTAATACCCATCATTCCAATCTTGTGGACTTGCTAGTTGCTACTAGGAAACTTTCTATCAAATTCTATCCTTCTTTCCAATTCTTGATATGTTGCTCTTGATTTGGCTATTGTGACCAATCTTCAATTATGCCACTACTATTGTTGGCTGCCATAGGTTGGGTGGAAAAATCGATTAGCCAACGCCTAGGATATTAAGCATTACCATAAATTTAACAGGCTATAGTGTGCGGAGCGGCCCTCGATTTAACATGCGTCAAGAGGGGGCATACATTCTATGCTTAAAGCCCTTCAAGCCGTTAAAATAATACAGACAAGAGAAAAAGGCAAACTAAACAAACAATTTTGTTACGTAGTAATGTACAAAACAATTGCAAAGATTTTCCAACGTGACAACTGAAAAAGAAAATTTTATTGTTTTCACTCCCCAAACATCCATCCTGAAAAGCAATATCTAGACAATCGAAAAACAGAATAAAAGGAAAATGAACAGGTTTTCAGGCATGGAACTTGCGATTAGATCATGATGCAGTTCTCCATTGCAGCTCAACTTGAAGGCGACCGTTCTTTGAATCAATGAGGTGGTACTTCTCGTTGATCCTTTTGTTGTTAACGACATCGGAGAGGCTTATATCAATATAACCCAATACCTCCTGATTTAAGAAGAAAATTACACCAATATAAGTTAGCTTCACATAAACAATTAAGGGAGCTTCATTTTATTTATTTATTTTGAGATTGAATTAAGTGAGAGCTTCAATAAAACAATGTCCAACACCAAACCAAGCTTGCAGAAAGAAACACCATTTTATTCCATCGTCCTTCTGGGAAGACACGAGAGCTAACAAAATGCAGAACCTCCTAATGTGAAAATTAGCATTTCATATTACCTTGAAAGGTGATAAACTAAAATAGGACGCATACCATTTTATCCTAACGGAGTATTACTGCAGGGTAAAACAGTGAATAACAGATGTGGTTTCACCTTTTGAAACAGAAGCTATATAAGATGCACCATTCCAATTACCAATGTGCTGTTGTTACTATTGTATGGTGACACTTCAACTGTTCAACATCATATTCTAAAAGGTCATCTCAAGTTTCCAGAGAAATACTACTTGCACCAGTCCGTTGTTCCTCCATTAAGGCATAATAAATATCAGAAAAAGCAATTTCTGTACCTTAGGATGCAATAGGCCAATTCTCATTGAGGTGCTGACAACTTCCAAATGCAGCCTATCATTCACAGGAGGCTCCTCCAACACAAAAGTAAAATCCTCGTCCCATCTTGGATCCCTGTTCTTCTTGACTTGCTGCAATCAAGGTGGAAATAATCACGTAAATGAACGTGAGCAAAACTAGACATAGTTAGCCCTATGCAAGAAATTTCTTGCATTTTAGTCAAAGTCAGACTAAATACATACTGCAGATCCAGAAAAGCTAAAAAAAACAAATTGGTAAGTAAATGAACCTCCAGCAGTTTCAGTTTTATGACCTACACGGATTTACTATGAGGGCGAGAATGCAAATTAAATTTGCACACAAGCTTATCAATGGGAGATTTATAGTAACAGCAGAATGAAGAAATACCACATTTATAAGTGTTGAAGACATAATTAAGTAAATAAAAGTGTGCTCTCTCTAACAGTTTAAGCATTTAGATAAGATGGTCACACACTTCAACATGGTGCCGGGAGAGGTCCTGGGTCCACCCAATATCTAAAAGAATTTTCACATGCTTGGCTCATAAAAAAGAATCAAGCCCGCACGTGAGGGGGCGTGTTGAAGACATAATTAAATAAATAAAAGTGTGCTCTCTCTAACAGCTTAAACTTTTAGATGAGATGGTCACACACTTCAACAATAAGAATAATAGATATGCAATTTTTTAATTCAAGAAACAAAAGAATAGAAAACGAAATTGTAGTCTGATTGGAAACACAAAAAGCATAGTTGCTGAAATTATTGGAATCTATCAATGCACTCATATGGATTTTGAAGACAGAATGGAAGAAATTCATCCAGGGAGTGGACTCTTAGAAGCAACTTTTGATACTGCAATTTATTCACGGAAAAATTAAGTTTCCATGAGACATTCCCTAAGAAAAGGACGCTTTTGTGCAAACTCTATAAAAATCTTGGAGCTCCCTTACAAGAGAAGATGAAATTTCTCGTACAACCACGTTAACTCAAGCGACTACTTAGTCTGACCTAACGAGAATCTCTTATCCTAACTAATTGTGCTTTATTTTCATGTAACCCAAAAGGGGAAAAAGAAAGGACGAAAAAAGAAGTTACCACGAGCCTTTTCATGCTTCAAAAATCGAAAAATGTTCTATACAACTTAGTAAGGTAAAGGGTCCCAGGAAACTAACATGCTTGACCTCCGTTCCATTTTCAATGTTCGTCCTTCTCCATGTTCTTTTAAAACAAACAAATCAACCGTTTATTGTCATATCAATACTTCTATCCAAACACGTATTGACTTATTTGTAAAACCAGTTTCAGCATTTAAATGTGTTGTTACCACTTGATGTTTATCATCTTCTACTTTAAATCAACAAAGTCAAACACGCTCTTAGAAATTAAGCCAATGCAAGTTTATGATGAAGTACAAATGCCACCACTGTCCTGGTTTAGGTGGCATAACCTGACAAGCATAAAGGTTTAGAGTTACTGTTTCAATAGGTTATCACATCAAAATTATCAATTTGTGTTATTCAGAATGTGGTCAAGTTAGCAAGTAATACCGAAAGGAGGGAAGGAGTGAATACTAGAGAACTTGGATACCAGGACTAGTGTAAAGCCTAAACACTTGTGAGGTAGAGGTGTTGAGGTCGAAAGGTTGAAAATGAGTGGGAAAAGAGTTCTATAATATCCTCCTACCTATTTCTATCATTGCCTGCCAAGGAGAGAACAATGAAGGACTAGAAAGAAGAGGCAATTTTGTACCTTAGTTTTTCTCTCCTCCCCTTTGAAAATAATCCTGACATATGGATTAGTATGGTGCTTTCCTTCAACATCTTGAGCTTCGTGGACCGTAATCATAAGGACGCCTCCCCCTGGTGGCGTTCCTTCTGGAACTTTTTGTGCTGCATCTGACTCTTCAAATTCTTTCGGCAACTCGTCCTCCTTAAATGGTTTGTAGGTCAATTCCACCATGATCTGACCGCGGTCCTTGTCATTCTGAGTATCATTAGAATCCATATTCTTTAGGAGATCTAGTGTCATAGTTTTTGATTCATCAGGGGTCAAATCTTTCAGTGGAACAACGTTCATACCCATCTTATCATGTTTGCCAATCTGAATAAAGAAGGGACTGAAGCTTGAGATAGCACATAGAAGGAAAACAATAATGAACATCAATAAACTAGGAAAGTACCTGCTCCCAATCATAAACAGAGAGCTCCAATGTTTGTGTTTCTGGATCTTTAACAACCATATTAAATTCCTCATCCCACTCTGGATTTAAATTCTTATGCTTCACAGTGGTTTTCTTTGAAGGAAGTTTTGACTCGGTGAGCTTAACTTTTACGTAAGGATCAGCTCCACCCATTAAATCTTTCTTTCTCAGCTTCATTGCCCTCAGAATCTTCACATGCAGGATCCCTACAGGTTTTTTCATTGCTCTACACGTTCGCAAAGTGAAATAAAATGACACAATTAATTGAACGTGATTGCAAAACCTGAGAGAAAAAAATATGATAACAAAATCTAAAAGTAAAGAAGACATACTTGGATGGATCCAAAATCTGCACTTCTAGAGTTTTAGGCCATAGATACATGTTAGCAACCTGATCCTTAATGGTCTCCTGTAAAGAGAGTTCCCCAATATTAACATTAAATCGTTTGATCATGACTACAACAAAAATGTTGTCCCCTGAGCATGCACTTATAGCTACTGCTTTGTGTCATCAAAACTCAAATCTCTAGACTCAACATTTTGGTAAGAAATTCCTAGTATTCTTAACCTTAGAAGCTAAGCAACCAATATGCTTACAGTCCTCCGTAAAATACAGTAAATGATACAGGCTGTTTTACAAAATAGAGCAAATGAGATGGCAAGAAGCATAAACTGTTCCAAAAAGAAATAGAAGATAATGGACATGAGAAACTATAGTACCTGGACAAACCTGTACAAGCCAGGAATGGACATAAGATCAGCACCCAAAAGCTTCAATCCAAAGTCAACATGTGGCTGCAAACCAGTAAGAATCTACTAAGACGATGCTTTTGTTTCATTTTTGGTGTAAAGAAAGCTATTTAGAAGATGCAGAACTTAGACATCATAGAATCCTTGTAAATGATAGAACAAGGACATATCATTGCTTTTTTGAACTGTAAATATGGCTTATGCACAGCCTTTGTGCTGACATCAGTACTGTTACCTTTCACAAAATATAAGAATCTAATAAGATGTACGTCAACAAATGCAAATCCACCCTAATAAACTGAAATGAGTCCATAAATCTATAATATCAAGGGAAGATGCCAACCATGGTGTGACAAACTTTACAGAGGCTAAACAATATGAGGGATGACAGAGGGATCATGTAGATAGTGGAC